ATAGGTAACCTTAACTCTGAGGTTTACTCCAGAATTGACCCTGAACCCAGTGCCAGTGACAAAGAGGAAATACAACTGACAGCTAAGGAAGCAAAGGAGGATGGAGCCTCTGGGTTCAACCAGCCATCCCCACTGGACCCACCTGGGAAAACACTTTGCAGTCCAGAGGGGAGCAAATGACAGGAAAATATCTTCTAACAGAGCAAGAAGGCAAGCTGCTTTAACCCAAGACCACCAGTAAGGAGATAAAGCGTCCTCCCTTCCCCCCTTTATATCTATGCCCCTGTTCAGCATGAAGAAGCCAGAGAGTCAGCTTCCAGTTCCCAAATCAATAAGACAGTTGGTTTAATTACTATTGGAAAATGCTTGTCATTCCTCTGTAACATCTGGTGCCCACTGGACCCTCATCATTTCCTTCACCTGCTCCCCCCCACTGACCAAACTGTGCAACTCTGCAACTGCATCCTGGCCCATCCTCACCCTTCTGCCCCCAACCCTCATCTCCTTGTACCCCCAATATGTTTTTCCCAATTAAAAAAAAGGCCTTTGTATAGTCAATGAAGCACAGATAGACATTACTCTGGTGTTCTCTGTTTTTTGTCCAGGTCCTTCTATTATTAACTATATTATCCCTAGTACCACTACCTCTTCTAAAACCAAGCCTGCACATCTGGCAGTTCTTTGTTGGTGTGTTGCTCCAGTTGTTTCTGGATCATTTTCTACAGAATCTTGCTTGCATGTGATATTGATGTTGTTTATTTGCACACTCTGTTGGATCACCTGTCTTTGGAATGGGAACAAATATTGATCTCTTCCAGTCTGTTGGCCAGCTGGCTGTCCTCTAGATTTCTTGGCACAACTTAGTGAGCACATACAGGGCAGAATCTGTTGTTTAAAACATTTCTATTGGTATGCCTGGTGCTTTGGTTTTTGCCAATTCCTTCTGAGCCACTTGAACTTCCTCCTTCATCAACATCTTAATCATATGTCATTTCATAAAATTCTTCTGTGTCAGCCAATTCCTTCTGGTACAGTGACTCTGTATACAAATCCAAGGCTGACAAAGTTCTACAGGGTAAATCAGGCATCAGTAGAGAGAACGTGAATAATATGGGATGCCAGAGCCTGAGTGTAGGATGAAGGAGACTCATGTAGTGGAAGATCTAATAAATACATATGTCGAGATTGATCAAATGAAAACAAATATTCCTTCTAATTCTGAAGGAGGAGTGGCATGCACTTCCTAATCAACAATGGAAACTACATGAACTTTGATAAATGTCGATAGTTGTTGAGGAGCTTTAGGCCTTTTGTTCACAGGGTTGCTATGAGTAATGCTCCACTTGAATGCAATCAACAATAACAACAAGGAAAACCAGGTATATAAAAAAGTTAGATACGTGTAATGATAATGATGTCATTGATGTTAGTTCTGTTTAGATCACAGCTTGCCATCATGATGACAATATTGTTTCTCCTAACATCAATAGGATGGATGCTGAGGGTCATATGTTAATGCTTTCAAGGCCAACATCTAAGTGTGTTTTTTCTACACAGCGAATCTGTACAGTTGGTAGTATATTTCCCCTCTCTTCTAGATGAAGTTGCTTTAGTGAACATAGTTTGGAAACTTTGCATCTAGGAACCACAGTTGTTTCCAAATCTAAAACTGTACTTCTTGGTCCATATATGAAAACTTATAGAAAGAGTGGCCAGCAATAAAAGGTACTTTTCTTTCCGTAGCTGTCCCATGTAGATCTAGGCCACATGCACTCATTAAAAAAAGGGACAAACAGTAGACAAATCCACTGAAAGTACCAAACCCAACTTTCTTTGGGTGCAGATCATGCATCTGTTATGTTCATTTCTATGCTGGCATTAAGCAGGGTTCAGTGTGTATTTGTTGGTTTATTGGTGGCAAAAGTTGTGCTTCATTGTCCTACTGCACAAAATTAGTCGTTCTAGCCCAAAGGACTGACATAGCACGTGGCAGGTATGTGTTGGTTCTGACTCTACTTCAATGAGTTATCATCCAGTTATCATTAGCCTATCGGTCACTAGTGACAAATAAAGAGAAGCTCACAGGGCTTCAGCCTAATGAGTCCCAAAATGGCCAATGGTCTCAGAGTTTATGACTGCTAGTGGGCTGGATGTAGTATTGGAAGGAGTTTGAGTTAGTTCTGCCCAGTAACAATTGCAGCCCACCTTTCTGGAGCGTTATTGTACCAAGTCTGTCCTCTCAGGGCCCTGCCTGGTGTCAGCTCATCCAAGGTCCTTCTCTGCCAGAGTGACCAAGGCTGGCTGCTCTGTTGGTAAGCCTATTGTAACAACACAGGTCACTGAAATTACTAGGGTAGGGGAGAGATGGAAAGGGGTCTATCTCAGAACAGCATGGTCTGCAAGAGAAAGGATCTGATGAACTTTGAGAAGTCTCAGTAATAAAGACATGAAAGAGAAAGAGTAGCCAGGAGATTAGATGCTGAACCAGCCCATTAGTTCAGAACAGGGTGTGGAGCTCTAAGGAAAGACATGAATCCCAGAGGGGAATGAGGAAGTTCTCAAGGTCCTCACCCTTCAAAGCTGCCAGTTTTCTTGATTATAAGGCAGAAATGTTTGATTCTTCTTCCCAGAGCCTTAGGATGGACCAGCTTGTCTTTCTCAACCCAGTGGGCCCTCTTGTTCTCTGCCACATAGCACAGGAAGCAGAGCTGAACAGTTCATTTGCTCATAGAACCTGGGAGGCTTGGGTGTCCCACTGAGGGTGTTCTGCCTTAGTCCTGAAGAAGGGCAAGACTTAGATAAGACAGATAAGATAGGACAGAAAAGAAAGAGCTGGTTTACCCATTGCATATGAGTTGTGGGTGTAGAGTAGGGAAAAGAACATGATTCAGAACATGATTATGTTCTAGGTCTCCCTCAATGAGGATTAAAAGCCCAACAAAGCAAATAAGAAAAAAGGACAGAATCTCATTCCCTCAAGCCAGAACTCACTCATACCTGATCTTTCCCTGGGGTTTTAGAGGGTATAAATTTCACCACAGGTAATTTGTTCTTCTTTCTTTCTTTGGGCATTTTGTGGATTTGAACTACCTGCATTTGGTTTGGCAGTGCAACTCCTTACCCACGAGGTCTCCAGAATGTTTGTCTACTAAAAAGATAAATGAATCATGAAGATACAATCATTTCCTTGCAGTTAAGACACATTTATTAAGGTTCTTGATGTTAGGAGATGATTCAGCATAGAGGGACTCAGGATGATTCTTCCAATTGGAGATGTTTTATTGTTTTCTTTATCCAGGGTAAGAAACTGGAGATTTTGGTGGAGATACATGGGGAAGTTTCAGTTTTACTTCCAGCGGTACAAACACCCTGGGCGATATTTCTGCATACCAAGGGGCCTCCAGAGTCTCCCTGGGAACACAGAGAGGAAAGGCTGAGTTAATTGTTCTGCTGGTCCTGCCTCCCTCTATATTCTGGGAGAAAACTGCCCCAAAGAGGTGAAAAAAGGGTGGGGGTTATTGCCTTTCTGGGGATCCCCATGGTGCCAAAATGTGATGCTTGACATCATTGTTGTTTCATGCCTAGGTTGTGATCTATCTCCTTCCCTAACTTCAGGACTCTTGCCTTCTAAGGTGCTGTGGAACTTTACTTCCAGGCTACTGTTTAAGGAAAGGCAGATGATTAATGGAAGACACTACATTGACCAGGGTGATGACAGCTCTTGAGTATTTACATGGTTTTGATTCTTCAACATGGAGTGAGAGCTTTTCCTTGTTTGTGTGCTCTAGGTGGGCACACCTCTCTACTTCCCCCACATTAAATAAAAAAAAAAAAAAATTCAAACAAGCTCTGGACACCTCAATTCATAGTAATCCTAAATTTTATAGACTTGAGCTGCTCACTGGCTTTTCTTCCCTAAAAAGTTTAGGGAACACCTTTGAGAAGGTTCAAATCATAAATCTTTAAGTTAGAACCTGAAGGGAAACTCTGTGCCTTAGGGATGTTTGAGGTGGCATGTTATTGTTGTTGTTTTGCTGTCAAATATAAACCAACCCATAACTGATCCTCCGGTGAGGTTTTAGAGATGACTAATTGCATAGGAGGAGATTTCCCGGCTTTCTCCTGAGGAGAAGCTTTGGGATTACAGTGATGTGTCTTACCCCTAGGCCACCTATCCCTTTGGGAGGTAATAAGGAGTCATACATTCATCTTTCTGGGAGAACACATTTCTGACTTTCCCCTGGGAAGCTCACAGAGACCTGACTGACCAGGTAGTTTGGTACTATTGTTATCTTAGAAAAGTGGATGTATGTATTCCCTCTTGCTAGCAAGGATCTTTACATCCCAGATCTTCCTGAAACATCCTGCTCTCCAGAGCAAGGCCAGGTTAATGCTAAGTCTCACCTCAGAGGAACACATCTTTTTCTGAGGGTCCCCTGCGCACAGCTCAGTGGTCCTGTCATAATGCTCCATGCGGCTCTCACACTGGAAGTGCTCCTGAATGACAAGATCCACCTCATGCAGCTTGCTTGTTTGATTATTCTCAGAGATCCAGCCCCAGCCAGCCACACTGCACATCTGCCCAGGCCTCACATAGTCACTTTCTCCAGGCAGAGGGATTAGGCCCACAGCTGCAGTCAGTTGGGCCTTTGTGTCCAGCTGATGAAGGAAACAACAAAGTCTTGGTCATTGAGAGCCTGCTGCCCCGCAGAGCCTGATGGACTGCACTTGATCCCTTCTCCTCACAGGACCTGGGATTAGTGAAGCAGCCAGGATGAGGAAGGCAGGGGTTATGGTGGAAGGAAAAAATTCTTGAACCCAAGGGAGCAGGAGCAGCAGGGATTGTGCCTCACCTGTAGTATCATGATGTCATTTGTATCAGTCTTATTGTTATACTTAGGGTGGGGGACGGCTTTTTTCACACGAATTTTCTGCCTTGTCTTTTCTTGTAGCCCAATATCATGGGCCCCCAAGATGACAGTCATGAGGCTGTACAGAGAGAAAAGAAGAGGTTCTCACAACTGGAGCCCTAAAGCAGGTGACAGGTGGGGAGGGGAGGGCAGCTGCTGAGGAAAATGCTGGAGGGAGGGATCATTCATCTTGAGCTTGCTGAGCCTTTGATTTCTGTGCAGCTTGTAGGTGGTTGTGGAATTCTCTTTTGCCCTCAGGTCATATGAAATGGCTTGACCATCCCTGCTCTCAACCTCCACTGTCTGCCGGAAATAGCCAGTGTGGTCCTTCCTTGACCCCTTCTACTTGCCCCATTCTCTGACCTGATGGGTTACGTGTTGGCTCACTTTCCACCACCTCACCCCACTCTCAAATGGTTCTGATGATGAGAACTTTTGGGTCTGAGTTACACCCAGATGAAGTCGCGCCACCGTGTGGTAGGAATGTGAAGAGTCCTTGGAGGTTCTACCCCTCACCTTCCCCAGCAGTGAGCTGCTGTCAGGACAATATCTTCTTCCACAAGGAAACCACCACATCTTGTCATCTTGCCATCATGAAGTAACAAAACAACCGCCATGTATGGACGTGAATGAGGCTGTACTTCATGACCTCCAATGATCTCCTCTGGAAAAAAAAATGGAAGATGGGAGGAGCAGGCATCCTACCTGATGATTGAAGACAGGATCAGCTTTGCCCTTTAGTTGTTAGGACAAGTTGTCCTGGACTCTTCCGAAAGCAATCCTTATAGGCTTGATAACATGCCCTTCCCTTCAAGTCTCAATGGCCCTCCTAAAAGGAGATAGTGCTTGTTCTGGACATCTCATATTAGACACATGAATGACGCAAAAGAGCTTGTCTTCAAATTACCAGAACCCAAGGAATCAAGGAGAAGAATCCCTGCTTTTCTTTTCAGCCCAGAACAGCTCCTACAGGCCTGAGTGACTCCCCAGCTTGGCTATTTTTATTCCAGCAGAGCAAATAAAGGCATGCCCCTATTGCTAGCAAGAGTCTTCAGATCCTAGAGATTCGTGAAACATCTTTGCCCCCTGAGCCAGGCCAGGCTAGTGTTAAATCTCACCATAAAGGAGCCATCTGTTTCTTCAGGTTCACCATGCACAACTGAAAGGCGTTGTTATAATTCTTGAGTCAGGGTGGGGCTGGTGCTGAGGGGAAATGCTGCAAGGAGGGAGCCTTGAGCTTGAGCCTTTGGCTTCTGAAGAAGAGCACTGAAGGTAAGCATTTGTGGGACTCTCTTTAGCCCTAAGTTCATGTGAAATTAATTGATCCATACTTGCTGTCCACCTCAAGTGTCATCCTAAAACATCCAGTGAGGAACCTCTCTGATCTTTCCCACTTGCTTCAACCTCTGCCTTCATAAGCTACATGTTGACCTTCTTTTCACCACCTCATCCTGCTCACTAATGGTTCCTCTGATGAGTCCCTTTTGGCCTGTGTTGTAGACAGCTGCAGGAGCTCCCCTGAGGAGCAAATATGGAAATAGAAGTCCTTGTAACATCTGCCCCTCATCTTCCCCTGCAGTGAACTAGTGTCAGGACAAAGTCTTCTCGCACAAGGGTATCACCACAACTCTTCTTGACTTCCCACTGAAACTAAAAAATGACATGTATGAAAGTGAATGTGGCTTTGCTACATGACCTCAAATGATCTCCTCTTAAAGAAAACATGGATGATGAGGTGACTGTGACATCCTACTTGATGATTGATGAAAGGGTTAGCATTGCCCTGGAGATGCTGGGACAGATAGACCATGGTACTCCTGAAAGATGGGTTTCTGGCAGTGTCCATTCTTGCCATCAAATCTCAAACAGTCCCTTTTAAAAGCTGACAGTGCTTGTTCTGGACAGTCCACATTAGGCACATGGATAGACGCTTGCGTATGTTATCTTTAAGATGGCAGAGTCATCTTAAAGCATCCTGCATAAGATTTCTTAGACTATTTTTTGTTTGATTTTGACTTGTATGAGCCTCTGCTAAGTTTGTGATATTTTCTAATATTATACCCTAATGTTTATAGAGTTAGAATTTTATAAAAGTTTAGGTTTTTCAGAGCCTATTACATCTTGGAACTTCATTAATCTTTTTATGATTGTATCATTGAACTTCTCCCAATAAACGTTTGGATGAGCCTTGGTATGAATTAAATTGGTGGGAGTCAAAGCCAAAGGACTGTCAGGAGTGTTGATGATAAAACAGTGGAGTAACCAAAGCCTGGGGAGGCAGTGGAGGCAGAGAAGCTAACTAGAAGTAGACTGTAAAAGAGTTCAGACAATATAAAATCTTTGAGATAAATTGCAACTTGAATTTCTCTCCTGGTCAGGATTGAGCACTGAAGCTGGAGAAGGATGTCAAAGACACTGAAATGATTTTAACACTACTACTTTAATAGCGAAAATGTCGTTGTTGTTATTGTTGTTCATTATTGCCTTTGGGTCGAGCATGTCTCATAGCCACCCCATAAACAAGAAGTCGAAGACCCTCTACAACTATCGACATTTATCAAAGTTCCTAGACTTTCCAGAGGTATGTTACTTAGGAAGTGGATGCCACTCTTGCTTCCAAACCTGCCATAGTATGTTATTGTTGTTATGTGCCATTGAATCGCCTGTGATGTATAGTGACCCTATGTACAGTAGCTCTGAATGCTTCCCTGTCCTGAGCCGGTCTCACCAGTTCTGACACACAACACTCCATACCCCCGGTTACTGTATCAATCCATCTCATCTGATGTCTCCCTCCCAAGTGCTGTCCATCCACCCTTCTGAGCATTATGTCCTCCTCCAACGACCCATCTCTCCTGGAAATGTGCCCAAGGTAAGTTAGTTGGAGCTTCAGCATCCTAGCCTCCAAGGAGATACTTGGTTTCACCCTGAGACAGACATATTGTTTTCTTGGCATTCTGTGGTATGTTCAAGACTCTTCTCCAGCACAACAATTTGAAGGCATCTATTCTTCCTCTGTCATCCATAGTCATTGTAATCATGACAAGTAATTGAGAAGCCCATGACCTGGAATAGGTGCAACTTTGTACCTAAACTGACATCACTGCTCTTCAGGACATGGACCAGTTCATGAGTTCGATTTCCCGACACAATTTGTCTTTTTATTTCTTGACTGCTGGTGTTAAGAGGGTTGATTGTGGATCTAAACAAGCTGTAATTTCTAATAACCTCAATCTCTTCTCCATCTAATATGATACTGCCAATTGGTCTAGGGGTGAGAATCTTGGTCTTCTTGATGTTGAGCTTCAATCCATATTGAAGACTACAGTCCTTCACCTTTTACAGCAAGTACTTCAGGTCTTTTCTAGTTTCAACAAGCAAGGTTGTGTAATTTTCATATCATAGGTCTTTAATGAATCTTTCTCCAATCTTGATGCCACACTCCTCCTCATAAAGCCCTCTTTATTTGTGTCTTATTGATTATACAAAAGCATTTGACTATGTGATCTAACTAATTATGGCTAATACTGGAGAATGAGAATTCCAGAACGCTTATAATTTTGCTCATATGAAACCTAGACCAAGAAGCTGTTGTTCAAATGGAGCAAGGAAACACTGAATGGTTTAGATATGAAAGGTATGTGTCAGAACTTTATCTTTTCTCCAAATCTAATCATTATGTATGCTGAGCAAATCATTCGAAAAGCTGGACTCTATGCAGAATAATGAGGGATCAGAATTGCAGGAAGAATCATTAACAACCTCTGTTATGTAGATGACACAACCATGCTTGCTGAAAAGGAGGAGTACCTGAATCACTTGAAGCAGATCAGAGTACAGCCTTAAATATGGAGTGTATTTCAACATCATAAGGCCAAATTCCCTACCACCACACCAATAATCCACATTGATAGATGGAGAGAGATTGAAGCTGTCATTTAATTCATCTTACTTGGACCACAATAAACATCCTAGGTACCAGCAAACTGGAGATCAGAAGACACTACATTGGACAAGCCAGCTGTTAGAGATACTTTTAAATTTCTACAGAGCAATGATATCAGTTTGAAGAATAAGATGGGCCTGATTCAAGCCATCATCTTTTGAAAACTGGACAAACTATAAGGATAACAGAAGAAAAATTAATGTCTTTGAGCTGTGATGTTGGAGAAGAGCGTTGAACTTTTGGACTGCCAGAAGATTGAAAAGACATGTATTGGATAAAGTGCGGATATAGTGATCCTTATAAGCAAAGGAACAAACCTGCATTTCACATTCTTTGAGCATTATTGCAAGGAAAGCCTACTTCAAGTAGAGGGACCTCATGCTTAGAAAGGTAGAGGGTCAGCAAATGAGAGAAGACCTTCAATGAGGCGGATTTGTGTGTGTGGCAATGGGCTCAAGTGTATCTCAGATTATGTTGATGGCACAGGATACGTCATTGTTCAGAACTATTATTCATAGAGTTGCTATGAATGATATTGGACTTAGAGGCACCTAAGAACAGCACTATAATAAGATCAACAGCCTAACTATGCACATCTCTGGATCCACAGAGTGAAAGGAGTTGTGCTACTAACCCTGAAGCTCCACATCCCTGGCCATTCAAATCCATCCAAGTCCCTTTGTGAGAAAGATGGGGTGATCTCTTCCCAAGCAATTTACAGCATTGAAAACTTCCTGGAGGATCAGATAGGAGTTGGTTTCAAGTACACAGCAAGCACTTCGACTTTGACTCTAATACTAAGGCTAAGCATGAAAACAAATTTTGTAAGGATAGCATAGGACCTGGCGGTGTTTTTTATTGTGCATTCCACAACAAACTCAACTATACCTAAAACAATAGTAATACCCCAATTCTTTGTGTTTAAACTTCATTTTCCTGGGATAGGGAAGTGGGTAAGAAGTTGGGCTGTTAACCCAGATACCCTCGGTTTGAACCTACCTTCTGCTCCAAAGGAGAAAGATGGAAAAACTCCTCCTGTGCAATTTATACCCTCCGAAAACCTATTGGAGAGTAAATAATGAATACATCTGACTAATTAGCTATGAATTGTTGTTTAGCTTCTTCACATGCAAAAAGAGATTTCAGTTACTTATGTTCATATCTTCTGCCAAATGTCTTTGTAAGAATCAGGAGAAGCTCGGGGGAAGCTACCACCTAGTAAGCCTTTAAGTGGTAACAGTCCTGTTGTGATTTCACCTGAACTGGGGAAATTTGACAAAAAGCCAGGATAGTCTAACACCTACCACCCTGTCCAGGGTGTCTGGTCATCCTTCCAGCATGTCTATACAATATCAGACTGCTTAGTCTGGGTTTGCCATGGAAGCTGGTATCTATAAAGTTTCTGGATTACATGGAAGGAATTCCTTCCTAGCACTGCGCAGAAGGGCCAGGAGTACAAGTGATTCAGGGAAACAGGCTCAGGTTCCTAGGATGCAGAGGGTCACTCACCTGCTATAGATCCAGGAAGCAGGTGAAAGGCCAACAGGAGCAGGAGTGGATGCATCTTCTGAGGAAGGCTACCCAGGCTAAAGCTGATAATGTCTAGACCAAAATAACCACAGCGCAATGAAGAGGGCCAGACCCAGTGATTTATATCACATACATACATCT